AACCCTGATCTGTCTTTGTCTAGTCTCTGCACTTCTAGTGGCCCTGCCCATCCCCACAGGTGGTCAGGCTCCTCCACCAACTCCCTCCAGAAAGCTGCACTCGCCTTCTATTTAAGTTCTTCCACCCTCTAAATTTCTCCTACACCTCTTTCTTGGCACTTGTACACACGTTCTGTAGTCCAACAGATCTCTCCTACTGGACTTAGGCCCCCGAGGGCAGGGGTGCAATGGTATTCTTCCATTAGAGCTGAATACAGTCAGACATAGAGTTGGTGCTTCTTAAACACCCACTGGCTCCAAAAATGAATGGCACTCCCAGAACAGGACCAGGCCACCTCCACACCCAAACCCCTCGCAGGAAGCAGCCGAGTCCCAAACAGGCACAGTTCTAGGCGTGCTCTTGCAACCCTCTGGTGTGTTCAGCCAAACCGTGGGAAATACTACCTGATGGAAAGCCTGCCACTAGCCAACCTCAGAACCAACTGGAGCCACCACCTGGGTCTGTGGTCTCTACAGGGACATTCCAGAGCTAGGAATCACTTCTGTTAGAACAGGAGAGGCAAAGAGGTGGGACCCAAGCCCCACGAGGGGAGAGGCAGCAAAGGGTGGAGAAAGGAGGCTTTGGAGTCATCCTGGGACACAGATGGGTAGGGTGGGGGACATTCTTCTGCTCACTGCCACAGTCCTACACCCAAGCTTCACCCTGCCACAGGGCCAGCTCTGGCATGCCACAGAGGGAAGCTGCCTCTCTTCCCACCACCAGCCTCTTTCCCAATACTCAAACCTTCCGACCCCCCAAACCACCTCTGAGAATGCAGAGCCTGGACAGGTCATCCCATGAGTTATTGAGTTAATTTACTGTTGGTTTAGTTTAAACTTATGGTTATCATCAGGTATATCTCATAAACACTTGATTAGTTAACGTATTCAAATCGAAATAAAAACTTCAATTACACTGAACATTCACTACTACCATTTAAAGTCTTAAAGAAGAAGAGGAAGAAGTAAGAGAGAAAAAGAGAAAGCAGTGCCTCTCAGAAGGGCCTCCTACAGGGCAAACTTCTAATTAAACAAATTGTCAATTTCAACACAATGAAAACTGATTTAGGAGTGTAAATTTAGTATTCCAGTCACTGGAAATAAGACCTCGCCTTGTCGATCTCCTACAGGCTGATTTCATCTGATAGGGAAATGAGGAGGAAGACAAGGAGAGAAAGGGGGGAAAGATGCGGAGGAAAGGCAAGCCGAAGCCGAAGCCGTTTTCTCCTTTCATAAATAACATCCCGGTGGAATTCAGTGTGGCCTCTTCTCCAGCATCGGAGAAACTCTTGCCTCCTCCTTCACCCCACCCCTACCAGATTAGAAAAAAAAAAAAAAATTAATCGCGTATGATGACAACCTTGGCTCGGCACTCACTGTACATACTGTACCCACAAGTCTGGCTCGCAGCCAGGCCTGGCCCAGCGCCAGGACTACAATAACAAACACAGGCAGCGCTAGCCAAGAGGGGGTGGGGCAGCCAACACAGCCCTCGAGCAGGGAAGGGAGCCTGTGCGGCTGGGCTCTGCTAAGCGCTCTGGAGCAGAAGCGCAGGGCCGGGGTGTGCCTGGGCAGGGGCAGCCACCAAGACCCCTGCTCAGATCCCAGGCTCCCCTACAGCATGCTCTTTTTAACAAAACAGTCCCCTAGGCTGGTTCTTCCAGGTTCTGCACTGCTGCTCCAAGCCTTGATCATCTTCTATAAAATGGGTCTGTGCTACAGATCCTGAGGGTCCATTCTCACTGTCAGCTCCTCGCTGCATGGAGCCTTCGAGATAGGGGAGAAAGGAAATCTCATGTCATCTCAGTAAACGTGTCTTCTAAAATAACAGAGTTCTGTTGTTAGGCATCTGGGCTCTGGGATCAGAATGTGTAAAATCACTAGTGGAATCTTTGAGAAAACCTGGCACTACCAGCCCAACCCCAACAAGTCCAGGTCTCCACAGGGTCCCCTCTCCCAGGAGTGGTCACTGTTCAACAGGGGGCAACCAATTCAGGAAGGGGTCTAGCCTCACTAACCCTTTGTGCTCTCTGATTTTTAAGACATTCCAACACAGTGAGAGGCATGCATAGCCACAGGAAGAAAACAGAGGCTAGAAATCTCAGGTTCTGTAGGCCCTGAGCTATGTGCAGGGGTGAATTTAAATCACGAGGATGACTCATCATACCTGCTCCATCACCAAATCCTCCTTTCAAGGGCACTGGCAAGTGACTCTCAGAGGGACAAATCATTTGACCAATGAGGCAGGCACAGAAAGCAGGATTCAACTTCCAAAGCCTCTGGCACATCCAGATGGGGGCCTTGGAAGTGCTATCTCAGGAGGACTGGAGTGCACTTCCCCAGGGACCTGTCAGTCCTGGGGGGGAGGGGAGAGTGGATAGTGCCAAGTCACTATCTTGTGTAAACTGGGGGCACCAAACACACAGGAGAATATGAAATCAGCCACTGACCTCTCTATGGCACCCACTGGCACTGTGAACATGGAATTCAGAGCAGACAGCAGCTAACTCACATGGACTCTGCTGCCTTAAAGAGGGTTGAAATATGGGCCAGGGTCTCCTGGCCTCTCAGCCATGAAGAGTTCCTGTGTAGACGAAACCAGGCAGGAGATGGGAGTCTCCTTGAGTTGCTCATTGGTCTCCCAGGTTGCACTCACTCATTCAACAGATATTTTTTGACTCCAGTAATGTGCTGGGCACTGCACTAGACATGATGGGGACTGATCCTGGGCCCAAGAAGATTACAATCCATTAAGGAGAGAGGGAAAGGGAAATCCTGCAATATTCCAGGCATAGTGCTAAGGATGCCACCCAAGCCCTACTTCCTGAAAAAGGAAAATTAGGGTTAAATATTCTCATTTCACAGTGAGGCTCAGGGTCAGAGAGTCCAACTCACACCCACACGAACCCAAGATCATATTGTCAGGAGGTGGGTGACCCAATTCCTTCCCCCACATCACCCTGTCCCCACAGAGGGGAGATAAGGCAAGTCCATGATTAACTGTAACACAAAGAAGAAAGATTGTACACAAAGACAGCTCCAGATGAAGAAATATGGGCACCGCAAATAAGGCACAATTGCTTCTGTTTAGAAATGGGGGATGGCTGGGGATGGCATCATGAAAGGAACCTTGGAAAATCTGGGAAGATGGCAGACAGAATGGGGACAACAAAGACACAGGACTCAGAAAGCAAGGAGCACATGAAGTAACTCAACAAGAAGGTGAGTGTGGTTAGAGTACTGAACTCAAGGGAAGAGCAGCAAGAAAGGGTGCAGACTGCGGTGGAATTTCAGAGAAGGCAAGTGGGTCTCAACAACAGATGAAAATGCATATTGTGGCATCAAAGTATCCAGTGCCATATAGGTATCTGGGGCAGGGAGCAAAAGAAACAGAAAGCCCACACTTTGGCTCTCAGGGTCAGGGGGAGGTGGCCAACCTTGTTGGCAGACAGTTTATGAAACCACACACTGAATCCTAAACAATGCACAAGCTGAAGGGAAGCTAAAGGTGTACATCATTAAAAGAGAAGAAAAGTGCTGGGCACAGTGGTGCATGCCTGTAATCCCAGCGGCTCAGGAAGCTGAGATAGGAGAATCGCAAGTTCAAAGCCAGCCTCAGCAACAGCGAGGTGCAAAGCAACTTAGTGAGACCCTGTTTCTAAATAAAAAAAATACAAAATAGGGCTGAGAAAGTGGCTCAGTGGTCGAGTGCCCCTGAGTTCAATCCCTAGTTAGCCCCACTGCCCCCTCCCAAAAAAAAGAGAAGAAAAAGTGGAGTGAGGGGGAAGGAGACAGACATGGGGACAAATGGACATATGACATAGAGAGCTGCCTGGGATGCTGAATCTCTGTGTCTGAAAGAGAGAAGAATGGGAGACAAGAAAAATTTTGGGCACTTTAGGAAGGACCACGAAGGCCAGGGAGAGAAGTCACATCCTACACAGGGCAGAGTCACATGGTGAACTGAAGCAGAGCTACCAAAAAGCGCTTATACCACTGTATGCATACAGGGTCACAGGAAGAACAGCACACAGCCTGCCAGCCAGGCAGGAAGCTTCTGGAGTTAGGTGATAGCTTCAGAGGTAGGAAAGGGGAGGAAGGTGCACACAGAAGCCATTGATAGCAATTAAATATGAATTGCATGCTGGGTTCTTGCTATGGATGCCTTTAACATACTTTCTGTCATCTAATCCTCAAAAAAAAAAAATGTGAGTTAGCAACACCTGCACTTGACAGATACAAAGCTAGAGTTCACAAGATAAATCTGGCCACGGTCACACAGTTAGCACCTGTCACAAACAGGATTTGAACCTTCATCTGCTTAAGCCCAAAACTCATACTTACTTCACAAACACTAAACTGCCCGGAAAGTCAGTTGCTTCAGGCAATATGGAGAAAAATGAGGAAGAATTTGACAGATATCAATATGTGGGAAGACCAAATAAGATAGCCCAATTAGCTCCCCTAAAAAGTGACCCCAAGTCTGAAAGTCAAGGTTACTACTACAGGGAAGAGTATGCCCACAGCAGGACAGTGGTGAAGCCTCTACAACTGGGTTCAGGGCCAGTGTCCCCGAACCCAGAAGCCGCAGCGTCAAACCTGCAGGATCCTTCCCTCCACCAGAACACCCAGGCATGCAGAATACCAGCAGCTTCTCTCCTTCCACGCCTCATGGGGCAGAGCAGCTTTGCCCAAACACCAGCAAAATTACCAGCAGCCACACAGCCGACCCCACTAGAATTGGATAAAATTAACTTGCAAAAGACAGCACGCTATAACTAGCTTTGTGTTCCAACCTTTCTATATCTATTTAATTAAAGGCTCCTGTATAATGTGAACCCAATAGTCAGATTCATTAGACAGCGAGAACCTAATTCCACAACTGTTTTGCTAATGAAATTGCAGTCTACTTTGGAAGGTAGATCACACAGGGCATGGGTGCCAGTGATGCCCTGGGAACCCCAGGGAAGCACGAGGATGGGCTCATCCAATGTGCACACGGTCAGGTGGCTTTTCTGCTCCATGAACCTGGAAGGAGGATCCAAGGGACAAGGTGGACCAAGGTCTTGCCTGGCATCAGGGTCACCCGAGCCACAGAAGGCTCTGAGTTGGAGGCGAAGGTGGGCAGGAGGTAGTTGCCTGTGCCCAAACGGGCCGTTAAGGCATCCTTGCCTACCTGAATGAGCCAGTAAGTGCATTCTCAGTCGCAAACTATCCAGGAACCGCTTTCCGCAGAGCTCACACCCGTACGTCTTCATCCCACTGTGCAGCTTCCTGTAGGGGAAAGGAAAAGACAGGTTGCTGCTGCTCTGGCTGGAACGAAGGCAGGCCCAACCCTACCTGGGGGCTCTGAAGCCATCTCTCAGGTAGGTGAACAGGAAGAAGGAAGTGGAGGGCATGGCACTGATGGAGACTCATCCCTGGATCTTCTGGCTTCAAAACCCCACCCCGACCCCAGGCCAAGGCCTGCTGCCAATAATGCGCCCATTCCTAGTCTCAGCCAAGGATGGAAGAATAGGGTACTTCCTATGGCTTGGTTCACTGTCACATTGACCAAGGGAACAAATCACACCTGATTCCAGAGGGTTAGGGAGGTAGTTCCCAGGACAGTCAGACAGACATGCTCACTGTTCAACCAGCATGGGTCATAAATGGAAGCGCACCGGCCTCTGCTTACCTCAGACTGAGCTGTTACCCTGCATGCACCTGGCTCCCTGCCACCACTGCTAGACAGCAGGAGGGCTGCACCTATAGCCTTTCTCTCTCCTTTGCCTAACCCACTACAGTGACTGGCACAGAGGAGGCTAAGGCCCTGAATAAGCTTCTAAAGGAAATAATGTCTTTACAGACAGTCAGGGCTCCCAGATGTCCTCAGAACTATGGTGATCCCTAGAACACATTTTTCCCCTAAGGACCAGCTTTAGAAGTGTCTTTCTTCTGTGTGTCTTTCCCCAACAGATAAAAGGGTTCCAACAGTAGTCATTTTTGGCTTTCCAAAGTACTTTTGCACACATTTTGCAGTACATTTTGTCACCATTGTGATTCTGTGAAGTGGCTGGCCTGTGCAAAGACAGAGGCACTGGTGACAACTGGTCACAGGCCCAGCCTGCCACAGTTCCCTAATCCCACTTCCCGCCTAGGGTCTTTCTTGACAGACCCCTTGCTCTATCATGAGGCAGCAATGGAGTCCAGAAGATACAAGGAACAGGATGGGCCAGCAAGCAGGGAGCTGAGTCTGGGGAGAGGCTCTGAGCTTCTGGCTGGCCCCAAAATGCTGACCTTCCTCCCATCCATACTCTGTTTCCAGGCACTTACTGCCACTGCCAGATCTGGGCTCTGGTCTCCACCCCTGCCCCTGTTTGTGCATCTTCCCTGCACCTTCCCCTCCAGAACAGGGCAGGCAGTGGCAGCCAGAGGTAGCATCTGTGGGTGGTAGGACAGTGCGGGGCTCCCTGGGAGCCAACAGCCTACTGCAATCAGAACGTTGAACTGTCAAGACCACAATAAAAGGCTGGACAGCTGATACTGATGTTACATAAAACTTCATATGAGGACAGGGATATCATGCACTCAAGCAGGCAGTGCCCGAATTATGACAATGAAACTGAACTACCAACTTCCAAATCCTCAAATGAAAACCCAAAAGTGTACCCAAACCACTCCCCAGACTCAGTTCCCTGCTTGCCGGCCCATCCGGTTCCTTGGGTCTCTCCATTGCTGGCTCATGATGGAGCAAGGGATCTGTCAGGAAAGGCCTTCGGTGGGAATTAGGATTGGGCAACCATGTCAGGCTGGGCCTGTGACCTGTTGTCACCAGTGCCTCTGTCTTTGCATGGGTGATAACACAGGCCAGCCAATTCACAGGTCTAGAAGAGCCTCAGCCCATGGGCCGCTGTGGCATGAGGACAGCACACAATCCAATGTGTTCAGTCTCCTGAGGGTGATCACACACAGTTCTCTTCGCAGAACTCTTTCTCAACCGCGTTGTTTTGTTTGCTCATTTTCCCTTTATCCCCTTGCCAAAGACAAATGATTTCTCAATCACACACATGCACACCCACGTGCGTGCGCGCGCGCGCGCGCACACACACACACACACACACATTCACCCACATACACACACCTCGGCCCTATATTATCTCATTCTTGGCCGCTGCTTATCCATCCAATTGAGAAATAACAGAACATTTGAACTGAACATTCTTAACTCTAGATGTATTTCACAATATTCGGCACTGGGACCGGTCCTAATAGTGTTGGGGTAAAGCTTTTAAATACGTGCCCAGGTACGTGCGTGCAGGTGCATGTGTGTGAGCACATACACACATGATAGTGGAGCATTCCTGCCTCTTGTCTGGGCCTGATGGATGTTTGCTTTTTATAGGAGATGTTCTACAGGGTGGCAAAGGCTCCATTTGTAAGTGGCTCTTCAGCTGAACTTCTCACACACAGTCCTGGTGACGTCTAGTGGATGACAACTTACGAGTTCCAGTTTATTTTCATCCTCTTCATTGGTAATTTGTTAGTTTCCAGAGGTGCTCACCTTTCACTGGTGGCTGTCAAGAGGAACAGATGGACCAACACCCACTTGGATTTACTTTCCAAAAGGAATCTACAGTGGCCAGTATTAACATTTGGGGAGCCACCACCAGCCAGGCTAACCTCCCCTCTTGGGCTCCTTTTTTTAAAAACATTTTTTTCTTTTTTAGTTGTGGATGGACACAATACCTTTATTTAGTATTTTTTATGTGGTACTAGGGATCAAACTCAGTGCCTCATGTGTGCTAGGCAAGCGCTCTATCACTGAGCCACAACCCCAATTCTCCTATCTCTTCTTGAGAGCTCCAGATCAAGTCCTTCACCCTGATGAACACTCTTTCAGTAATACTTCTGGCCTTTTCCCTATATGCAAATGGATTTGCCTTGAAATTGCTGGAAGTGTCTTTTCTTCCAGTGGCCAACTGGAGTGGCTTGGTGTGAAAGATGAAGCACCTTTGCCCTTTCCTTATAGAGATAGCAGGGCACAGGAAAGAATGCCCAGTGAGCAGCTAGAAGACTTATATCCTCATCTTGACTCAGTCAAGATAGCTTGTTTCAAGACCTTGGACAAGTAGTGCTATCATAATCACTCCTCTTTTTCTCACCTGTAAATGGATGTGGATGATAGCTAAAATTTCAGGTGGAGACCAAATTTTATTATTCAAAAGTCTTACCCACATCCTTTTACCTTGCCTCCAAGAAGTCCCTCTCATGGGCACCATTATTCTTGCTGAGCCATGCTCCACTTGTCACTGCCCACTATGATGTTCTCTGACACTCAGGCAGTCAGGCTAAGAGAGCCCAAGCAACCTGGACCCAACCTGGCAATCTATTCATTTAAAAACTTTCTAATCCAGATGGCCAGAGTTTCCTCTTTCACTCACTTGTTATTTGTTTTTCATTAAAAAAAGCTCCCAGAACTCATCACAAGCCTTTCCTCTGAACATCTTTGCCACCATGCACTTCTAGCCTTCAGAGACGTAGATGTTGTCTTGTCCAATCCTCAGGGTGAGAACACTACCCTGGAACTCTGTCACTAACACAGTGACCCACACAGGTTACCATGGGCGAATGTGGGATCCACGTAATCCTTACCTAGGACAAGCACACAGGTCTCACCCACTGGCAGGGAGATCCAGGCAAATCACACAAAGTCCAGAAGACAAAAAGAAAACAACTTCCCAGCCTGCCTGGGAGTTCAACCTAGCCTGTTTACTCCCATCTTTACTTATTGTTCAGATACCAAGAAGAGTGTAGAGAAGTGGAAGCTTCTCCTGATTCAAAGAAAAATAAGTTATACTCCATGGATGTACAGTATGTCCAGATGCACTCTACTGTCATGTAAAAATATACTAAAAAGAACAACAACAAAAAGCAAATGGCAGAGAAGACTTGATTGCATTCACTGGGCCTGGTGACCAATAGACTCTATGACAGAGTCCACAGAAGAGCCAATGTGGATATAGAGTTCCCAGTGGTTTCTAGAGCAAAAGTACAACTTTGTATGAACTTACGGTCATCCCTCTTTAGAACACAACCTCCCCAAACCACCACCACCACACTATGCAGGGGCATTTAGATCAAAATAGAAATTCTGTCCACCTTCTTCCTCCTCATCATACGCTTGAGTCCTGTCTTTTCACAAGGTATGACTGCTTAGGACCATCTGAAGTCATCAACCTCCACTATGCACAGGGAAGGACACCTAGGGATAGTTTTACACTTTGCTGTGTACTTCTCTGGTTGATATTGAAGTTTCTATATTCTGTTCTCTGAGAAAAAAAGCCACATGGCTGACCACCACCTTGAAAGTAACTTGGTTCTAGCATAGCCCAAGCATTTGACCCCCTCCCCATATGCAGTGGAGGATCCATCTCCCCCCATATGCTTCAAGTCCCCACTATTTATTCTTGGGGAATGGGCTCCAGATCTCCTCTACCCCTCGTGGTGAGCCATCTCAGACAACACCTGGCCCACTGCATATAACATTCACTTAGGTCCAAAATGACAATAACAACAACAAAAATTAACCCCTAACAAGTTTCTATCTATATTCTCAAGAAAGCAGAATCAATATGAGAAATTAAGAGATAAGCAAATCTGAACCTTTTAACAAGTAACAAAAGAGAAGGACCCATTTATTCCCACTAATTGTCAACCATACAACTCTCACTAGTAAAATCAAGATAGCAAGATACAAGTTCATCATCTGAATCATTTCTGTGCTATTACAAGTGTGAAAATCCATAAAGATCCTGTCTGATTTAAATTAAAACTCCACAATGACAGAAGCCATGTGTATATTCCCTTTTATTCATAAGGCCTAGTTTAAAATGGATTGTTCAATACCACTAAAGAAATCCATCTAGATAAGAGTGTAGGGTACTCCTCTGCTCATCCTAATAAAAATCCAAGTACAACAGTTTCATGGGCAACCACCAGTCCAGAACCAGACTCTGTCCTGTGGCCCCCGAAATCCATACAAAGAAGCCAAAGACTTTCACATCAGCATGAAGCTTGAGCTTAGAACAACCTCTCATTCTTCAGGATAAGCCTTCAATCACCCCAGTCCACCTAGGACAGCAAAAAACATGAGTGACAGCAAGGAGAGACTGACACCAAGTTCCATTCTCCCTACCTTCAGTCTCCAGAGACAGCTGGCCTTAAGAGTACTCTCTACAGGAGAAGCTCAGTCCACCTCCATGCCACGCGGCCAATGATCAAGGAGAGGAAGCAAGGAGAAGGGCTCGTTGCACCCCCAGGTGCCAAGAGGAAAAGGTCAAGTGTACCAGCTGGCAGAGAAAGGGGGGGGCTCAAGTCACAGCACTTCCAATGCCACATTTTTTCCCAAATTCTCTGTCCACAGAGAAATGGCAAAGCTGGAACAGACCAACGGGCAGGGAAGGTTTAGAGAAAGAATTCTCGGTTCTAGTAGCCTAAGAGCTACCCTTCACTTTCCTGCTGGAAAGCTGAAACTGCCTGACCTGTGAATTTTGCTGAACAGGCCAGTGATGGAAACTGGGACCTGTAACTGGGGAAAGCCACTGGGAGGGAATTCCATAGTTGGACCATAGATGATGATTTCAGCTTACCTGATCTATCCCCTGAACCCCTACTCAGAGCATGCCAGAAGGGTCTTCCAACTCCCCTATCCTTAATTTGAGGCCGTTCCAGAGGCAGAAATCTCCCCAATGCTGAGAGCTTATGCCTTCTGATCCCAGGGCCATCAGTGTGACCTAGTCAGTGCTTCTAAGAGGTACTCACAACAGACAAGAGGAGGCAGGATATTCTGTGAATGAGACCCAATCAAGGTCTGAATGACCCTCTGCTCTCTCAAAAGCCCACTACCCACACAAGAAGCAACCCCTCTCCAAGATCTACTTACCACAAGAGCCCAGCCACCAAGCAACCTTCCTGGTCCTCTCTGGAGCTGGCCCTGGCCCAAATGATGCTGTGTCCCACCCCCACCCCACACATGGAATGGCATGAGGCAAGGCCCTTCCCAGAGCTCTAACTCCTCTGCACAGTGATGACACTGTACACTGGCCAAGCTCACCTTTCCAAGTAGAAACTGAACTAAGTCAGGGAAGAGCCATCCTAGTTAGAGAAGATGGGTTTACTCATCTTCCTTAGATCCATAGGTTAAAGAGCCATACCTCCAGGGACCATTTACCCTTAGTTCAAAATCACAAGAGAAAGGTCAAATCGTCAATAGCCTTCTGTGCTTTAATGCTAAGAGGAAGGAAGGAAGGAAAAGCTACGAAGCTATCAGGATTTCCTCCCAAAAACAAATTCCAGGGAGATTGCAGGGGTTTTTCCATATTCAGCCCAAACTCCCACACTTTCTAGCTGCCTTTTTATGGGAAAGGAACCCTCTGAACAGAGCTGGTTCTACTAGAGGCCTGCACCCTAAACCACAGCATACTATTCACAGGGCACCTGGGACACTCAGAATGTTTCCTACCTTCTAACGGTGACAATAGATCTTCCCAAAGAATGTGTCTTATTGCTACCAACAGTGTCATATTCCAGGCGGGGCAGGTCATTCGTTAGTCATTTGAAGGGTCATTCTCCTTACATATGTGATTAAAGACTAAGCTGTTTATAAGTTCCTCAGAACTATAAGCTCCTTGAGGACCGAATCCCTGTCTTTATCTCTGTCTTCAACTCCCTTGGCACAGACGCAGGCCACCAGAGCAGCCAGAGTGGCAGTCTCCAACCACCTCTAGACGAAGGCACAACTGGCCACTAAAATGCAGCCCACACCTGCCTGGAAGCAGCAAGGGGCCTGGCAATCCAGAGAAGGAAGAGAAGGGACAGTTCTAAACTGGACTGGGAAATGGGTCACTTCATTTTCTCCAGACATAAGGGAAATTATCCCTTTAACCCACTCTTTTTGTTTTTAATGTTGAGATTAGACAGTCATTTGACAAGCTGCAAATGCTTAGCTGGTATTACCACAAATTATCCTTCTAGCAATAGAGTTCGTTGCTCCCTGACTAGTCAATATTAATAAACATTACCGAATGCTTTTACAACACAATTTATTTTTTAATACAGCTCTTTATGTATGCCATAAAGTAAATATACCAATAAAAGCCAAGGATTTCAAAGAACAGATTTTTAAAAACAACCAAGAACTAACAGAGTGCTAGTTAACACCTTCTGTGCTGCAGGTTTTGGGGGCCTGGGGATCTGACCTGTAGAGTTAAGGAAATTGGTAGCCAGTTGGTTGTTTTGGAATTTTAAAGGGAAGGGAAAAGAATATCAAAGAGCCATGCTTTCTTAAGAATCATCTGAGTAAAAGGTATGTATGTTGACCGTGTGTGTGTGTGTGTGTGTGTGTGTGTGTACACGCACACACGTGTGCATGTACACATATATTTACACACACATATATATACCCATGTACACACACACATATATATGGTATATATGTACTGGGCTGGGTGCAGGAGACCTGGTTTTCCACTCCATCTCTTCTGGTAATCATCAAACAACCTTGACCAAACCACAGTGTTTAGATTTCACTTACATCTTCGAAACAATGCAAGCACTGAGCTAGCTGATTTCTAAGGTAATTTCCAAACAGCTTCACAAAATTGTAAGGCTGACAGACTTTGGGATTGACTGATGGGTCTGCATCAGCTAGACTATATCTTCTTCCCCATCCTCTCCATCTTTACCATTGAGCCCAGAACATACAAGGGGGGGTCAATGCATTTTACTCAATGACTGAAGCAGTCCAGCAGGAAAGGGAATTTGACGAGCCAAGTGTGGAGGTGGGAAAAACCCACCCTCTCTTTATGCACATGTACACACACCACTGTAGAAGAACAATCTCCACTGTCTGAAAAGAGAAGCCTTCCGTGGGGTTCTTAGAAAGAAAGTCACACACCCTTCCTTGACCTGGGATCAAGGCCAATCTGGAGCTGACCAAAGAGTGGAAGAAGCAGCCCTGAGGGTTGAAAGCATGAGGAAGGACAATGGTGTTCCCTGTGGCCATAACCACACCAAGTACAGTACCTCCCGATAAGGCGCCTCTGAGTGTTAAAAACCATGTCAGAAATGACAAAGGGGCATGCTAATCTCCCCACAGGGCAACTGCTCAGAGAAGGATCTTCATGGCCACTGAGCACCAGGAGGCCTGGGCTTCTGGCTGTTACATAACTGGTCCTTTGTTTTAAAATACTGAATTCTCTCCTAAGTCATTTATTTGATATATCTCTATCAACAAATTTCACCAAGAACAAAAGTTTTTCATTTGGGCGCTGGGCTGTGGGATGATCTTATCGCACACAATCTCATACAGTCTCTTTCAACAAGGTCTTAGCGTGCTTATCTGCGAAGTTCCTGGTAGCCAAATATGATTGAAATGTTCTATTTATGCTCACTGGATTAAGGAGATGTTGCAAAACTGCACAAAACCCTGGCAGATGTAAGCAAGGTATTACAGGCTGAGCAGTTAAGATCTGAAGGGAAGGGATCAATACACACTTTTGTAGTTTCTTTCTTTCTTTTTCTTTAAAAAAAAAAAAGTTGTGCTTTCAGAAAAGGGAAGAGGAAAAAGAGTAAAATGCCTCAAGATTTATAGCTTCTCTGAGCTTTTTCCAAACCCAAAACAGGGCACTATGATGCATGCTTGATGACGTCAGCCTAAAGGAAACAAAAATAAATTCAAAATATTCTCTCCAGATCCTACCAGGCCCTATAAGGGAATCAAATTATGGTTATGGATGAACGAGGATTGTATTTTTTTCTCTCTCCCATACAAGGCTTTTAACCAGCACAAACAGCCAACTTTGAAGAAAATGGCTTTCAGAAAGCGACAGGCTTTTCTGTTATCTCTTCGTGTTGCCTGGGTAGGTGAAGGAAATGTGTCTGCCTCCTGATTATCAAGGCTCATTTCTGTAGGTTTCCACCGTGGCCAGGAAGCCAGAATGCTACCTTCCAAATCCCACAGACGGGCCACAGCATCTCAAGATTGTTGAGAATAACTGAGGTTTATTAAAGGCCTAAGAAGGACGTTCCTTTGGAATTAAACCATTCCGAAAACCTTTTTAATGTATATTGCCTCATTCTTTATGCTTTAGTACACTGAAAATTAAATTACTTTTCTATGAGCATGCCGAGCTCAAGAGCCATCACTCTCAACATCAATTATGAACACACGAGAGGAGTCAGGCAGATTACCTGCGCGGACACCAAATCCCATCGTGAAAATTGTCATTTTAATGAAGAAAAGGACCAAGAGATATTTGCTTTTTTTTTTTTTAAAGGGTTCTCTTTTTTTCCCCTTTCTCTAGAATAATGAAAAATGAATCTAGTCAACTGAGGTAATATAATAACAAAGACAGTGCATTTATGTCACGTCTGACTCTGGAAGGTCACACCCTATGGCTGAGACAGAGGGCAACCCCATTTTTGAAAGTGACTTACTTTCCCAGGTCAGCAGGTGAGAGGATTTGCATTTACATTTGTCTAGCTGAAGAAAGACCATAGTCCTGCACACCATACCTCACTGAGAAGGGATTTTACCCAACCTAATCAGAAGAACAGAGAGTCCTCTAAGAGAAAAGTAAGGGGAACGACATCACCCAGCATTCACGGGCAGGCTGCATCTGCAGGAACTTCAGAACCTTCCACAGGGAAGTCATGCTCACTCACCGCCTCCTGCTGCCTACGCTGTCTCTGTTAAGCACCCCCTGTATGCCAGTCTGGAGGCAAGTCAGGCTGCACCCACAGTCCATCTGGGCAGGTTCTGTATCAACAGTTATGTATTGGCTTTATT